GCAGTAACTTGTTGCTGCAGAAATGGTCTCCTGGATCTCAGAAGTAATTTGGAGAGGGTCACTTTTCTAACAATGGCAAATTATATTTAAACAGGGAGTCAAGGGCAAAGCCAGCCGAAGAGCCTTGTCCCTCTCTTTTATTGTGGTGGTACCTCAAGTCCTCATTCCCCATGTTTCCCACACATGTAATAAGGCATACACCCACTCAGCATATTTTTACATAAAAATACACAAAACAGGCAAAAGTGGGTGGGGACTTTGCCTTTGAAGGGAATTGAGAGGTGCACAGACATACCTGGTGCCCTGGTATGGCTGCAATTGTTATTTGATACACAGGGGGGTGTAAGGAGGTTGTGTGGAGAGAAGGGAGAGACAGAGAGAGAAACATCAGCGCAGCTGGCAGCGAAATCCAGTCCAGGGAGAATCTCTGGGACGAAGGGGTCTCTCAGTGGAGGGCTGGAGGCTGGGATACACCATCCTGTGGGACTGGTGCCATTTTTCACCCTGTCATCTTTCTGGTGACACATCTCAGTACCGAGGCAGCGCTGTCCATCTGGAGGACACGAAGATCTGCCTGGCTGATCATCAGCTCCCTGCCAGTGTCCCCCTCTGCCAGTCCCACCAGAGGAACCCTGTGGTGCCCTGCAGAGGCTCCCCTGTCTCCTGCACCCTGAGGGAAGGCCTCCTGGAGCTGGAGCTGCTGAGGAATGTGTTGGATGCTGTCTGTATCCGAGGAACGCTGCGTGTGAGCGGCGTGGCGAGCCAAGGCACGCGATCGGAATGATCAACGGGCAAAATCTGGGTGCTGAGGCACGGGCTGGAACATCTGATTGGAAGGCTGGGAGGAAAAAGGGAAGGCTGAATTGTTTATGGTTTGTTTTTCATTCATCATTCCTGCTTGTGTGGGTGGACAAGGAGTGAATGAGTTTCTCGGGGAGGGCAGCAAATAAAAAAGGCACACATTTCCTTGAAGGATGAGTAGATTTTTTCCTTTCTACTGCCTAGGTGAATATGTCAGGGGAAAGGGGCTGGAGGGAGCCCTAACAGCTTCTCTCCCAGATGGAGGAAACAGCTTGCTCTTGACTTTTTCCCTTTGATCATCATGTGCCAAGAGATAAAGTATTTTTTGGGGTGGGTTCCATCATAATGAAGTCCTGCTTTTTCTCCCTAAAGCAAATGTTCTCAACTTTTCTTTGGACTGTTGAGCATCTCATGGAATTACAGTGAGTTGATGCATTCCCAGCTGAGGGAAGGATGGCTGTCTGGATCAGGCCTCTGTGCTAGGATGCTCCATTTCTGGGAGAGACAGCACCGGTGCCTGCAGCTACAACCCTCAGTTCTGCTTTCCTCTGGCCTGGAAGTTGACATTAACAGGAAGGAGATATGTAGAAGTAGATGATTTTTAAGTTTTCTTCAAATCTGAGCCATTCTCTGATTCTGTGGTTAGTCAATGTCCAGGTTGGAGTCTCAGACTGAGCGCTGGGCTTTGCTTTTTCCATACAATTCCTGTGTTCATCATTTATCACCTGCTTTTCTCATTTCACCTCAGGCTCTGGTGGTGTCCCCCTGGTGCCAGGAGTCTGGGGTGTCCTGGTGAAGGGCTGGCTCCTGCCCACATGGGGCACTGATGCTCTCCATGGGCATCCCCAAACTGAACAAGCCAAATCCTTGCAGAGAAGACATGGAGGTGGGAAAAACTGTTTGCAATGGATTTGATGGCATTTGTGGGGCTTTTGTAAAACACCTGATTATTGCAGGCAAGGAATTGTGGGAATCCAGGGCTTCCCTCTGGCTGCCCTGGTTGCCCTGGGACCCTGGCAGGGGTCAGGAACCCCCCTGGACAGAGCCCCCAGAGACACTGGCTGTGATCTCTGTCCATGCAAAAGAGTTTTCAATCTTACAGGATGAATTACAAGCTCTGAGTGTTTGATATAAGTAAGAATTAAGTGTGGCACAGGTGCAAAAGTAAAATTTTAGGATTCTATATGAGGAGTCCAGAGGGGACAAGATGGAGGAAATTGGGTGTGCCTTGTCCTTTTTCTCCTTCTTCATGCCC